ATTTATTTACTACACGCGCACGCACACACACACACACACACACACACACACAAAATTATAGAAGTAATTTATTAAAATAATTTAAATGTACATTTTCAAATTATACAGGTTATTGAAAATAACTGATCTTTTGCTAAATAAACTGTAAATGCAAAAATAAATGCTACAATACATGTATTTACAATACGTGTGTATTTATATTTCAAATCTGATTGATATACATAATCATGTTTTACAAGTATGCATTACCGACACTTTGTAGATATAGCACATATCGGAACCAAAAAGTCGTGGACATAGCACGGAAGAGACTCAAAAGATCGTGGACATTACCTACGGGATTCGTGGACATTGGCTACGTAGTTCAATGTGCACGTTTTGTGCACATAGAGGCGCTAGCTCCCAGAAACACGAAAAATGCGGGCATGTCCACTCTCAGTCTTCTCTCTGGTATAACTGCGATGTACGACTTGTATAAATGTGATATGTGATCGGTATAATTGAGTGATTAAACAAACTTACTGTGAAGTTCGATCACAATTATGCTTGTCTCGTCCGGATGGATAAATAATTGTAGTAGTGCTCTCCACTGCGCTATCCTCAACAGAATTTTAAAGCTAGGAAAAAAATTTGAATCGAGCGCCGCCTGCCTACACTCAGGTGCGGTAATCTGCACCTACCGCCTTCATTATTTTAAAGAGTACAAATCTGGCAATGGATTGTGGGTAGGAGGGAGTCTCCATCCGGACGAGACAAGCATAATTGTGATCGAACTTCACAGTAAGTTCGTTTAATCACTCAATTATGCAAATTCTCGTCCGAATGGATGAATAATTGTAGATGTTTAAAGATCAATTGATAAAAGAAAAAGAAAAAACAAAAATTTTTGCAAAATACTGCAAATTTAATCGTTTATTATTACTTAGCATTTGTCAATATTCCTTTTATTGTCAGGATACTCTACCATTGCTTATTAAAAAAGGGAGGATTGTATCGCCCTATAAACAAAAATATGCTTATAATAAAATAATGCTTATAAAATCCAAATAAAAATCAATTCAAACACGAATCACCGTGAGCAAAGTAAATCGAAAGATATAAGCTATTGCGAGGCTGGTGCCTATAATTAGGTACTGAGTAGCCAGAAAAGGCACTTATGAGTTAAGATCTATCCAGAATCTTGTCCTGGAAAGATGTATTGTTAATAATTGGACGGTTATAGAAATGAGCGAAGACCTCTGAGGACCTGCTCCAGTCCGCAGTGCGTCTGATTTCTTCCAAACTAATCCCTTTACTCGCTGCTAAGGATGTTGACACATGTCGGGTAAAATGTGGCGAAAAAATAGTTGTATCAATCTCCGCCAAGCGCAATTCCGCTTTAACCAAGCGGCCGAAGGT